GAGATCATAAAAGGGGACGTCTATTATCACCGGAATTAATTAAGCCATTTATAAATCGCGAAGATACTCTCGAACGCGTTCGCGGGTTTCATTTAATTCCGATAATGTTGTCTACGTCACGTGGTATTTTCATGTTTAATTTGAATGACTGCTGTGTTAAATGTTTCGTATATTATTTATTATGCTGTTGTTGTTATTATTATATGAGTTTATTGTTTCATTTATTACAATATTGTTGTTGTATAAAATGTTTAAATGTTCAGTATATTATTATTGCCATGTAAAACATTTATTGTTTCCTTTACAGGAGTATTACTACTGTATTAAATGTTTAGTAAATTATTTATTACACTATTATTATTATTATTATAATCATCATAACCATCATCATCATTGTTATCATCATTATTGTCATCAACATCATCACTATCATCATTATCATCATTATTGTCATCAACATCATCACTATCATCATTATCATCATTATTGTCATCAACATCATCATCGTCATCATCATTGTCAACATCATCATCATCATGATCATCATTATCATTATTCTTAATAGTTAATTAATAGGTTCATCGATTGCTTGTAATCTTATATTAAAAATTTAATAAATCTGACTACTTATTACTTGACGATTTAATGACTTTCTTTAAAAAATGCTTTTCAAATAATAATTAAACTATGTTACTAATTACACGATTTACTTATTGAAGGATTATAATCACTATTGTTCTTCAAAGTGTAATTAAGAGGATTTTAGACATTCCTTTCATTAACAATAGTAATTATAATCCTTCAGTTAGCAAATGATATGGAGTAACATAATTTAATTGTTAATTAAAAAGCCTTGTTTAAAGATAGTTATTAAATCATCAAGTATTATTAAAGTTCAATAAACTAGCTAATATTTTCTGGTTAGATAATGTATTAAAAGTGATTTTAAATTATTTTTAACGTATCTGAAGGAACTAATATTTTTTAATCAAGGCCTTCCATGAATACTTTGAAACTTTAATAATACCTGCGGTTTTTTTAGGTGTCGTAATTTCAAATAAAAACAATTATCCGCCGAGCTCAGAAAACAGATAATACAGTGGCGGAGTGAAGTTTAGCTTTCCGTGTTGTGCAATAATTAATATCGGCTTCCGATAATTTCATAAAGTAAACAATTAGTATGGCGTTAAGTGAACATGAATTCATCTTTCAGATATTCATTGATCTTCTAATTAGTTTTGTTGTGTATCTATTTTAAATATACTGGTTTAACTCCCAATGTATAAATAATCATATAAATAATAATTATTCAAATACCAAAAAATTGATTACTATCGTATACATTTTTTAAATTTCTTAAAAGAAATAAAATTAACGACAAACTCCGACGTATAAATAATCATATAAAAATATGGCGGAAAGTCGATTGACTGTCCCGCCATCGAACCACGTGCCGCGTCCGCCTGCCTCCCGCCTACGTGGCCAGGTATTTTTACATAATTCACATTCGCACGCTGAATTCCGGATCATCGACGCTGAAAATCCCAGCGAAGCGAGAGCCCGTTTCGTTAAGCAGCTTTGTCCAGGCTAAAGTGCCGTGCGGCCGGCACTTATAGCACCGCGAGAGAGCTCGGCCGGGTTAACGAGCACCGAATAAATTATAAAGAATGCTGCGATGACGTCTTTCCTTTATTCGCCGCGCCATCGCGTAAATTCTGCGCCGACGACAGTTGGGGAAAATGTGTGACTGGTCACCTGGGGTTGCTTTTTGGGCGGAGTGTACTTCGGGGTGGATCATTTTTGGATGTGACTGTAGTGTGGTTTTTTTAGTTTTTATTAATTTTTCTTTTTCTTTCAGATTTTATTATTTTTTATTTTTCTTTCAGTTTTTATTATTTTTTATCTTTCTTCCAGTTTTTATTTTTTATTTTTCTTTAAGGTTTAATTATTTTTTATTACTTTTTATTTGTTTAGTTTTTATTACATTTGATTACTTTTGATCTTTTTTCAGTTTTTATTATTTTTTATTATTGTATTATAGTATATAAAAATATTTGAAAAGTGAAAAAAATATTTGTTTAACAAATATGAAACTTTCACTTTCTGTTTGGAAGTTATTCATTGAGTGGAACTTGTGGCGTTACGCACGTTGTGATATTGTGATGGAGATTACACGTGTACCGGTGGGGACTTCAATGAAGCGTGAAGGGTGAAGCCCTTAAGAGGGTATCCCCATTTCTCGGTCAGCTTTAATGGTTTACCTTGGAAGTTTTGCTCTTAAAAAACGATATAATACATCTTCTTGAAACTTTGCAAATTTATTTGTATACAGAAAATACATTCTTGAATTTTTATTCACCTTTTTTATTGAAATTTTAATAAACATAATCTTACCTACTCAAATGTACTGCCAATGAATTTTTGAGATTCTCCTGATTAAAATGAATCCAAACACGACGTAAATCGGACTATTTTTTCCATTTCATGGAAACTAGCTTTTAATTTCATTAATTATATCAATTCCGTAAATCTAGTCTGATTCCTACCGTGTTTGGACTCATTTCAATCAGCGAAATCTCAGCAATTCAATAACATCATATTCAACAAGCTGCCGTTAAAATCACTGCAATTCAAATTTTCTTCACTCCATATTTACAATTAACGCGTGCGGCATCACTTTGAAGTCTTCTCGACCGTCGATTCTCGTACTGTCTATCCCACTTCCACTCACTATATCGATTCTCTGCATTCGTCAATCTCTACTCAATTCGTTCCTGGAAGCAAACATCTTCTTATTTCTTCGGTTCGGTTAAATTTTAAGAACCGGAAGCTGTAATATTTAACCGAGCCTCACTCTAACACGTTTCCCATCCCACAATCTCTATTATATTAAACTCCGATCTCAATGCAGCAACATTTAAAGGTAAACTTCAAGAACCCGAAATTGTAAAATTTAACCGAGCACCACTGACAAGTTTCCCATTCCACAATCTCCAGATTATGTTAAGCTCCGTTGAAAAGGGACGCGTAAGTTTCAATCGTGATTTCAATGGAGCAACATAAAAAGTAAAAACGTAAAATTTAATCGAGCACCACTCTGACAAGTTTCCTATTCCACAATATCTATTAGCTTAATAGCTCCAATTTCAGTGAATCAACATTTAAAGTTAAATTTGTGAAACCCGAAGTTGTAAAATTTAACCGAGCACCACTCTGACAAGTTTCCCATTCCACAATCCGCAGATTATGTTAAGCTCCGTTGAAAAGGGACGCGGAAGTTTAAATCGGGATTCGAATGGAGCAACATTTAGCCGATTGAATAATGCAACCACCGCGAGTGTCCTCGCTTTAATAGCCCATCGTAATCGGCCGCTCGAAAGGAAGGGTGTGACGGGACAACCGGCGATACCTCTTTTTTCCCTTCGTTCTTAATCTCCTCGGCCGATCCTCTTTCAGAGCGAATCTGCTGAATATGAAAGCACCGCGAATCTTCCAATTACTTTCCTAAGAGCGGTCTGAGTTTAATCCCTTTGTGCTTTTAAATTTCACGCGGCAATCGGGAAACAAACGGGCTTTAATGCCTGTGCAGGTAAACTCGATATTCAGCGTTGCGCATTTATTAACCGCGGTAATCCTCGGCGCAGAGGGTCTTGTTATTTCACCGTTGATTTAATTGTTTAATTTATGTACATTGTATAAACTATCGTGTATATGAACAATTTATTACAAATATATTTATTTGTAAATTATTTCATGTATAAACAATTAATTATTAATAAATTTATTTGTAAACTATTTAATTTATAACCAATTAAAATTACAATGTAAGCAACATAATCTAAACACCATAACAATCTAAATAACATAATCTAAACACCATAACAATCTAAACAACACAACACTATAAACAACATAACAATCTAAACAACATAACCAAAACAATATAACAATCTAAACAACATAACCAAAACAATATAACAATATAATCAACATAATCTAAACACCATAATAATCTAAGCAACATAACCTAAACATAACAATCTAAGCAACATAATCTAAACATAACCTAAACAACATAACCAAAACAACAACACAATCTAACCAATAAACAAATCGTTCTTCCATACAATTTTCCATAACCCAAAACAAAACCGTCAAAACAGACAACTAAAAAGAAGCAACTGCAATCCCAAAGCGAA